TTAAAAACGTCTATATCTCAGAAATTAATTACACTAAAAATTCTGCTTTACCATAAAAACCAAGAAAATTGCTAGGCCATATTACCCGCCGGTAACTGATTCAAAAATTATGGACAAAAAAAGTCAATGAAAAAAATTTTTTATCAAAAACAATGAATAAAATACTTACAATATTCATTTCTTGATCTTGAATTTCTTTGTAGACCTCAACAATTCTCATCAAAGCGGAGCCTGGAACATAAAGATAATAAAATAATGTAGATTTATCAGAATAATTAATAGTCGAAAGAAAAGAAACTAAAAGTATAATTGTATTTATTATTTTAATTTATTGTAAATAAAAAATAAAAGTTGGATGGAATGTTTTTCAGCATAAAATAAGCTTTTGTCAGATTTTTTTTACACGGGTTAGCATAAAAAAATTACGTCGATCGCCGTCAAGCCGGTCGAAATTGGTCAATTCGTTCAGGAAATATCATGAACGAAAGAAAACCAAAAAAAGAGTTTTTTTGGAATTACTCCAAATTTCCTAGTTTTATCAATTCAAACTTGAAGATTTTTCATAAAACTAAAAAAATTGCGTCAAATACTGCCAACCGCGTGAAAATCGAGTGATTCATTTAAAAGTTAGTGCGGTTTGAAAATTAAAAAAATATTATTCTATGATACTGCTATCGGACTTTTGAGCTCGAAGAGCTCAAAAACGTAATTAGTGCAGTTTTATGCACCTAGGTATGGAATTAGCGGGAAGTTGCACGGATGGCCTTCAGGGTCTACCGTTTTTTTAATTTTTTGGTGACAAATCACGCTTTGATTGTAAGCTTCTCTCTTATTTTTAGAATTTAAAGTTTATGATATTTATAATAATCAGAATTTACGATATCAACGTATCTGTTGAGGACACATGCTAAAATATACATGCTCAGGCTTTCAAGGCCGTAGAAAGTTTTCTCCTTTAAATTCGCAACTGTATTTAAAGATGAAACTTTTTTTCTTACCAAAATTTTTAACAAACTTTAGTTTTTACTTAGCAAAAGTACGAACTTGATCAATAATAAAAATTTCCAAAAATCGGCTTCTAACTGAGAAAAATCAATTAATCGTTAGCTTTTTAAATAAGTAATAGCAGCTAGATATGATACAGTTCAAATTTGCTATGAATTAATTTTTTTATTAAAAATAATATGTCTTATAAAACTCCACATTTTTCTTATCATAATTTGTTTCATAAAAATTTCCAAGGATTAGCTGCAAATTTATAAATATGAACTATTTTTTAAGTAAAAGTGTAAAACTTGACTTGTTTTAAGCCACAAATGACTTATTTAAAACTTAATTATATTCCAATCACTCATATAACCGCAACGTTTAAACCATCGAAATCATGGGAGAAGCTCATATTAGGAAAACAAATTCATGGTCTGCTGATGCTCGTATAGGGCGCCGGAAGCGTTCATACAAACTCGCGCGTGAACCGGAAGTACTTATAGCAGGTTTTAGTTTATAATTGATCCTTTTTTTTGTACAATATGAAAACGAAAAATGTAATACTTTTCAAAATCGTCCTTAGACTTTTTAAAATTTTCCAGAATTAAACTTAAAAAATTCAAAAAATAGTTACATCATTGCTAAAGTTTATTGTATACACATATATTCTTAAAGTCGCTAGCGCAAAAGTTATAACTTATAACACAAGTCTTATCAGTTATCGATATCATTTTAACATTAACTCGTACAAAAGAGTTAGAGTCTCGCCTTGACTTCAATCCTATCAACATTACATCGTGCTGTGCTGGTATCGTTAAATACTGAAAAAACTAACTAAATAAAATATTATTTCTATTAACATATTTACTTACTCAGTCACTAGATGAATGAATAAAAATAAATTTATAATTAAACTAATTAATTACTTAACATTTTTAATTAGTCGAGACTGCTTTTTTGCTTTTAATCATTATGAAATTTTTAGATAAATTTATTTGTAAATCAGCCTGCTGCTAAAGGATCTTTTAGCAATTTACTGAAAATTTTGCGAAATATTTTATTTAGAATTTAAAAAAATAACAGGAAAGTTTATAGGCAATCTTTGACGATTCTTGAAAAAAAGTTTCAAAAGTTCTGGGAATAAACATTTTTTAATCATCAAAAATGATAATTATCAAACAACTTTTAAAAGTGATAACTAAATTCGTAAAATTTATCTTATAGTTAATTTAAGGTTTAATTGACGTTGTAATTTACGTCTGATAATTTTTCCAAATTGGTCTCGAGCATTTGAAATTATCAAAAATATCGACATAAGTCACTATTGTTCGGGTTTGTCTTAAAATAACTTCCGGATGACAAATCGTATCTTACTTCCAGAAAATGGATGCGATAGCTTCGGAAATAAGCAACAATTTACACTATCAAATGTATAATTAACGATGCAAGCATTGTTGTGTATTTTTTCGACTTGATCGTCACTCTGCACTTTAAAATTTTTGGTTGTAAGATCAGTTATATAAGCACCGAAGTATGTTTACCTTAAAAATAATTTATAAAATTTCCTGTTTCCTTTTTAAAATCTTCGATGGCGAGTTTTAGATTATGTTCTTTACAGAAAAAAAATTCTGAACTTTTGGATATTCTAATCACCTAACAACACATGAGTCTAAGGCTATGATACATTTTATCTCAACATCAAAATCTCGTATATTTATACGACTTTTAAAATTTTGAAACAAAAAATCAATGTAATTGTCTTGAATTTCTCTACACTGGGCGTGGTCGACATCTCTGATCTTTCCTATAATTTGAATATTAAAAAAATGATTTTTTTAAAAAAGTTAATAGAGGAGAGATTTTATATATAAAAGAAGATGATGTTTGAAAAAAGTAAGCCTTGTATACCTGTATATTAAGTGTAGAGTTGTCCAATATAATATGAGGGACTTGACTCTCACTCAGACTTGAAATATTTTATATTTTTTGTATCGCCGTCTCTTTTTATCAGCAATCGCCGAGTCCCGGTAGTTTTATCTCTTTTCGTTGAGTGAATTGAGAAAGGATAGAAATGGAGGTGAGTCTTCATTCCAGCTCCTGTCCTACCTGAGGACGTTCACCTTTTTTCGTGACTTAACTTGTACTTGTATACTTGTGTATCGGGACTGCTTGGCCGAGTCACTGAAACCGGTAAGCAACCTTTACACCTTATTCCAGACCAGTTAGGATTATTTTCCTTTAAATTTATATCCATTTTTTTATTTCTAAATCCTTCGTCATGCTTCATTTTACCTCGACAATTTACAGGGATATTGTTTTTAACTTTCCCTTCCTCGATTTAAACTTTTGTATGGGTCAAATTAATAAAAAAAAATATTTTTTTATTTTTATTAATGTTATTAGCATTGAGGTCAATATTTTACGATTGATAACTTGAATTCGTGACTACTAATATTGAAGAAATTTTTTAATAATAAAAAATTAAAATGCTTAGTGCGAAAATAATTCGAGCTAAATTACTATCCTTTGCAAATTTATTGTCTTGCGGTTTTATATATTCACGACTTTGCATTTTTGTTGGTTCTATCAGATATTAACAGGTTTTGCATTCTTTGAGAAATAAATTTTTATTATTAATTAAAACATTTATCACTTTCTTTTTTAATTATTTTAAGATCATTTTCACTGAAATATTTCGTATTAAAAAAATTATAGGTAATCCCTACTTGTTCAATTATAAAATTTCCGCTTGATTTAAAAATTTAGATCCAGCTATTAAAAAATTATTCGGTTTTTTTTTTTTTTTTTTTAACCAAAAATAATTACAAAATTAGTCTATTTTTTTGCATGTTATAATTTTACTTTACGTAATTCATTGAAGAACATAATTCTAAAATTTTTTTACTAATTTCAGAATCATGTACGAAAATTTATTCTTTTTCTTATATTTTTTCATAAAAAAATTCAGTTTTTAATAATTTTTATTAAAATATTAATTATTTTATCAATAAATCGAATTAAAAAGAGTTTTTAGTCAAAATTCTACTTCTGCAACAATATATTTTAATTTTTGTCTCTTTTTTAATATTGGCAACACGGGAAATGACGTACATAGGTGGCGCATCAAAAACGCGCGTAATTTGAATCATCAGTAGCCTAGTATCATTAAAAATAATGTTTTTTAATAAATATATAGCTAATATCTTTTTTTATTTCTTCTCAAATATTAAAAAAATTTTTAAAAATGATCTTTAATGCAATAAATAAAAAAAAAATATTTGAAAATTTGTAATTAAAATGAACTATTTTAATTTTTTAAGTTTAAAAATTTATGTATAGACACAAACGGTAAGCGTCAAAACAGCGGGGAATTTCGGGGTCTCTTAAATTCTTATCAAGATGTTTTTTTCTCAATAGTTCGTAAAAATTCTGAGAATTTTACAAAAATTTTTCTAACCAGACTAAAATTTTTTTTAAAACTTATTCGACTTATAAAAAAAAAACATTGTTTCATTTTTCACAGGCAGTAATTACCTTAAATTTTTTTCTTAGTTAAAATTGAAAATCATGACTTGCAAGCGGAAAATGCCGAAGGGCCGCGGACCCATAACTTTAGGGTTACTAATAAGGCCCTAAATATCAGAAAACAGTTAATAGAAAAAATGACGGAAATACGGTTAAATAAAATTAAAAGTACTATATATAAAAGTGTAGTTAACCTTGAAATATAACAGTTCCGCATAGTTGGAGCATAAAAAGACTTTTCTTCCCCTTGAATTTATCAACTTACTTATTTTTATTATTATTACGTCTTTAAGTAAAATTTATTTTCCATTTAACAACAATGAAGAAATAATAAACAATTTCTCAGTATAAAAATACAATAACATAAATGAATAATATTTAAAGTTTTAACTTTAAACTTGACCGGCCCTTTCACTCATATTATGCAGGAGTGATGTAATGGAGTCTATTTTTAAAATAAGTTCAAAATACCCATTTGTATCTTTAGACTAGACATGTCTGGGAGGTCAACGAATTTATGTTACTTAATTTTCTACCTGAAGTTAGTTACATCAAGTTTACAATTTTTATTAATTCTTTTCCGTTTTTCACAGATACTGGGCCAAGACATTCTCAACAAAGACGACGACTGGAATCTTCTGGGAGTGAAAGAGAAAAGCTTAGAAGTTGTTTTACGTGATCGTTTGATGACTGACGCTGCTCTAGGTGGCACAAGACCCATTAAAACAGAACACAGTTACAGTTTATTGGCTTACAGTCCACCAGCATCTCCAGTTACTACTAATTGTCCGTCACCGTCACCCGCAGTCAATGTTTCTTCTAACAAACGGGAAATTGATATCGAAGGACGTATAAGAATAGCCACTAAAATGGATGGTGAGGGCTTTTATTTTTAGGTTAACAATAAGCTTATTTCAATTATATTTAGAACTTTTGTTCAACAATTACAAAGACCCTTTAAGACAAATTGTGGGAATTTATTTTATTTATTTTTGCCAATAAAAAAAGATAAAGAGAACATTGAATTGATTTTTCAAATAACAGTACATTTTTAATTGTCAATTAAAAGACTGAAAAGACCGTTTTGAGAAGAATAGATATTTATGTCATAAGGCCGTAAAGTGGCGGTTTTCTGACAGCGACGATATTTCGATATGAGCTTAAGGTTTGTGGCGGGAAGTTTCAAAACGAGCGTAATTTTAATGTCCGAGGCGTAGCCGAGGACGGAAATTTACGCTCGTTTTCGAACATTCGCGTCACAAACATTAAAGCGAATATCGAAAAAAAGTCATTGTCAAAATCGCCACTAAACGGCCGAATGACATACAATATTTTTTGTTATTATCGCTCCATAAGTTTAACTTTTGAGGGATAGGAGGTAAATAATGACATTTAAATTTTAGGAAGTTTCACAAGGCCAAAAACAATTAATTTTATATTAATTATCTTTTTATTAATCTTAAAATCTTGCTCACGTCCAGAAAATGTAAATAACTTTTGAAGTTATACTTCTTTAGGCGCGTTATGAAAAATTGATGAAAGTAAAATTTTACGATGCGCGCGCACCGTGACACAAAATTAACAGAATGAAGTTGGCCACAGAATAGAATTAAAAGTATATATTTTTTTAAATGACTAAGTTAACTCATATACAGGTTAGTTGCAAAGTATCCAATGAAACGTTGTTATTTTCAAATTCGATAGAAATACCATTTAATATGAAATATATTATTCATATTAATAATCAATTCTAAAAAATGGTCAATTAAATATTTTAGTTTTTATTTAATTTGATAATAATTTTCTTTTAATCAATATTTTTCCAAAAATAATAGTAATTTCATGAATTAAAATATTTAAACTAAAATATAAATATTGTAGTACCTATTATATTTAGGTATCTTTTTATGGAGTTCATAATTTTTAATACAGACTCAATCATTTTGCTCATCGAATATAGTAATTCTATCCATACTTTTTTAAATTCATATTATAGACCATTTTAATAATTTTCCGGAA